GTGTCACACATAATTTCTAGGCTTGTGATAGGAAATACATTGGCACAAATATTGATTCTAAGCAGTTGACATCCAGGTTTTTTCTTTGATTCCTTAAGGGAGAACTGTTATTCCGGCTTCCACCATCTCCTCGAGTGCCCCTGGGTCTCAGGCCACATGGACAACCTCCTGGCCACCCCAGGACCTGTGCCTATGTCCTGCTATGTGGCACCAGGCTCCTGATATTCTCAGTTCTCTGATGCCTGCAGCAAAACGCCTAACCGCCCTGCATGCTATTTGTGAGTGTCCAAGTGTTGAAATAATAATACCCTATATAGTGAACTTGCTTCAGCCTATGTTCATCTATGGGTAGGTTATTTACAGTAAAGATAAAATTCTGCACTGGCTTTCCTGCCACTCAGAATGTTTCTGAGTCACTTCCCCCAACTGCTTAACCAGAAAGATTCAAGAACTGTGAACAAATGCTGCCAGGAGAATTAGTGAAAGGACTCTCCGTTCTGCTGCCTCCAAGGAGACACAGCCTTTTCTCCCCCCCGCCCCATGACCTGACCTGAAGTCACTGCTTTCTTCCATGGATTTTATGCTTAAATCAAATGTGGCTTGGCCCCAAAGTAACTTTGCAAAAAGATGCTCAGTAAGATGGATGGAAACAGAAAGCATTCCCACGGCATTCAAACTCTGGTTGTGTTTTAAGTAAACACACGGCTCACTGGAAAGAGAACTGGGGCCTGAAGTGATGACATAACGGCATGCACCATGCTGGCGGCTGTCCCCTCCAACCCACATCTCACCTCCATGAAATGCTCTTTCACGCTATTCCAACTGGAAGAAAATTCTCCTCCCCTCTCCTCTGGCCTCCTCTAGCGCTTTGGGAAACTGGCCCCCATCCTTTGCGTGTTAGCTTGCTTGGTTGCTGCCACAGACAGACTGGCTTAAACAACAGCAATTTATTTTTTTAGTTCTGGAAGCTATAAGTCCACAAACAAGCTGCTAGCAGGGTTGGTGTCTCCTGAGACCTCTCTCCTCGGCTTGCAGGTGGCAGCCTCCTCCTTGCCATGTCCTCACACGGCCTGGTCTCTGTGAACCAATGTCCCTGCTGCCTCCTCTTCTAAGAACATACTAGTCATACTGGAGTAGGGTCCCATTCAGATGGGCTCCCTTTACCTTATAGCACCTCTGTAAAGACCCGATCTCTGAATATCAGTTACCTTCTGAGGTACTGGGAGTTGGAATTGAGTTGGGAGTGAGGAGACGTGGACACAATTCAGCTACTGGGCATTCTTTTCAGAGTTTTAGTGGGCGTCTTTTCTCAGAATAGCTCTCCTCCACCTCTGAATGTCTTTTCCCTGGGGGAAAGGCCCTGAGTTAAGATTCTGTGTTCCCAGCAATCAACTGGTTAGACGGATCTTCTTGGTCACTATTGGAATTCTGTTAACTTTTGTCCTAAAGCCAACACATTTTGCGGGAAAATAAGGCATCAATCACAGTGGCCTCACGTTGGTGACTGGGTGAGATGATTTCCAAGGTTCCTTACAGGTATGCCTGCTGGTTTCCTGTCTCTGTCCACATGGCTTCCCTACAAAATTCTCTTTCTCTAGGGAGTTTCACTCTTGTCACCCTGGGCAGAGTGGGTAGAGTGCTGTGGCATCATAGCTCACTGCAACCTCAAACTCTTGGGCCTGAACAATCCTCCTGCCTCAGCCTCTGAAGTAGCTGGGACTACAGGTGGCTGCCACCATGCCCAGCTATATATAAATTTTTAGAGTCTGGACCTTGATCTTGCTCAGGCTGGCCTGGAATTCCTGAGCTCAAGCGATCCACCCACCTTGGCCTCCCAGGTGGGAGCCACCGCACCTGGTCTATTTCTTAATTTTTACATGAAGGCCTACCAAGAGGGTCAGCCCTAGTTTTGTTGTTTGTTTTTTGTGGGTTTTTTTTGTGACGGAGTCTTATTTTTTTACCCTCAGTAGAGTGCCATGCTGACACAGCTCACAGCAACCTCAAACTCTTGGGCTTAAGTAGTTCTCTTACCTCAGCCTCCCAAGTAGCTGGGACTACAGGCACTTGCCACAATACCCTGCTATTTTGTTGTTGTTGTTGTAGTTGTCATTGTTGTTTGGCAGGCCCAGGCCATGTTTGAACCCACCAGCCCCAGTGTATGTGGCCGGCACCCTAACCGCTTAGCTACTGGCGCAGAGCCCTAGCCCTAGCTTTTTAAAGATCCCCATGCATTGCTTTGTTCTATGTCTGCAACCAGCAGCACCTGACATCTTGGCCTGATTAGGACCTGATAGTCCAGCTTGCTCTATTTGGCAGCTGAGGAAGCAGGGGCCCAGAGCAAAACAATGGCTCACCCAAAGCCTCCCCTACCAGAACTCTGAGCAAGACCTCTTGGCTCTGAGGTCAGCACCATTTCCAAAAGCCCGTCTTACTCCTCACTGTGCAAAGAGAAGGACACCAAGGGCTTTCTCTCTGTGAGCAGTAATTCATGTAATGAGGTGGGAGTGTAGCCTCTCTGGTGAATTCTGAGGAACCTCAAAACAGCGTATCTTTTGGTACTAAAATGATCTAGCACAGAGGTCCTTAAACTTTTTAAACAAGAGGCCAGTTCACTGTCCCTCAGACCATTGGAGGGCCAGACCGCAGGCCCTGGGATAAGTTGGCTGCTAAGCAGGACAGGCAGCAGCGGCAAAAACACCCGGGGCCTGATAAATGTCCTAGGTGGCTGCATGTGGCCCGCGGGCTGTAGTTTGAGGACTCCTGATCTAGCATAACAATGTTGTTGGTTCATAAAACAGTCACATGCTTAAGCACAATTCACAATGGTTATATCCTTCCTCATGTGAAAAAAAGAGGAGTTTTTTAGCACAGGTGGAAAAATAAGTATGGATATTGGAGGGAATAATCTAAATTAGCACCGAGTCAGCTCCAAGACAGGGGAAGTGATACCAGCTTGGAGGCCCAGAGTCTCCCAGCTACAAAGCTGGCTGCAAGTCTGTAAGTTGCTCAGTAGGTAGACGACAGATCAGACTCAGAGATGTTTGTCCATAAACAAGAGCCTGCCAGACACAGAGGATCTACCAAAATGGAAGGCAACTTACAGCCAAGCAGACTTTCAAATAGGGAATATATTTGCCACTTGAAAAATATAAGAGTGGTGCGGGAGGGAGATCGTGCAGCCTCCCGAGGCCAGCCTCGGTTTGGAATTGAGGCTGAGATCTCTTCAGATGCTTGTGGGGACTGCACTCTCCCACCTGGGAAAGGGCTATTCCCTTAGGAGCAGACAGGGAAAGTGCCTGACGACAGAAAAGAAGGCGTGTGTCTGTGTGACAGAGGCTTCCCACAAATTACTCCTGTGCCAACATCAGGAGTGTGGGGCTGACCAACAAAAGGTCGTGTCACTGGCTTGGTTTCTCTGCGGAGTTTGCAATGGCCCCTTTTTCCTTACTGGCAACCTTTCTAAAATGGATTTTGTTCATTTCCCACTGAGGCTGCAGACACTGCACGTGGTGGCCGTCTATGAATTGGGTCCCCAGCAAGGGAGAGCCAGCTGGAGAGGGGGTGGGCTGTGTCTGCGGAAGGTCCCCGCACAGAGCTGAAGTTGGCGGTGACATACAGTCCCATCTGTGTGTGACCCAGCGGCTTGCAAACTGCTCCCCTGCAGGGGCAGAGGCAAGCCCAGTAGGGCTGGGAGGGACTTTTGTTAATTCTGTTTAACTGACAGACCCGTTGTTTGTCTGTTGGGGGAAAGAAAAAACAAACGAACAAATTCCTTGCTTGTATTAGTCTGAACTTTTTCTTTCTCCCCGTGCCTTCATTCCTAATTCTCTGAAGTATCTCTCTCTTCCTTTCAATTTGGGGCATCAGTGTATGGCATTTTACACACACGCAGAGTACCCAAGCACAGGGTTAGAAATATTTGTCCGTGCTTTCAGGCTCCTTAGGCTTTGGTGTTCTGTGAAATCCATAATGAGATAGCAGGGTTCTTGTCCCCTTTCTGTTTACATAATTTGTGGAGCTCTCTCACATAACCAGTGCATTCTTGCAACCTCCCTGGACAGTTGCTTAAATTCTTTCTGAGAGCCTCTAGCTGCCCTAACAGAGGTTAGCTGGCAGGAAGGCAGCTACGTGTGCAGAGAGCAGCCTGCCTGAGGAACAAGGTTCTCAGGTCCCCACCTGGGGCTCTGGCCATCCTGGAAGGAGGTCCCCTTTAGGCTGGGGAGCTCTCCCCAACCCAGGCAGTCTGGGTTTTGCTGAGTTTTTGTTTGCTGTTTTTTTAGATACTAGGAGTTAAAAATGTCATTTGACCTGGCCAAAAAAGGCACAAGAAAAGAAAAAAGGAGGGTGGTGCCTGTGGCTCAAAGGAGTAGGACGCTGGCCCCATATACTGGAGGTGGTGGGTTCAAACCCGGCCCCAGCCAAAAACTGCAAAAAAAAGAAAGAAAGAAAGAAAAAAGGAAGGGAAATTGACCTTGCTAAGTGGCACTGAAGGATATGACCTGACACACCCCCACCCCCATCACTAATTAATTCAGACACACTACTCCCCTCTGTGGAATCCCAGGGGCACTGTCACAGTCCGACACATTAATAAACATGCCAAAAAAGACTCCAGGATGACAGATGATGGCAGAACAAAGGGACAGAAGGCATTTGGGGTGGATACACGAAGACCTGTTGATTTGTCAACTCCAACTTAGAAATAGCTAGAATTTCTATTTCTAAAGTAAATAACCACGGTTTAAATCCTCAGACACCACCTGCTGCTGCAATTCTCTGTTCTCCACTATGAGACTTCTTGGGACAACTTTCAGAGAGCAACATCACCGCGATGACAAAAGTCTTCCCAGCCAAGAACACTGACTTCTTAACCATCTTGAGTGTCCCCAAAAGACTAGGGAATCCCGAGCATCTAAGTAAAGACTCTGATGCCAGGGGTACCAACTTCCCGAATGACTCCAGCCCTTCCCTGCGTGCCCAGGCAAGGACCCAGAACTCACCTGTCATGAGGGTGTAGTAATTGGGATATGAGAGACTGGGGAAATCTGGGGTCAGATAATCCACTTTCACTCCCCTGCTCACAATCTCTGTGAAACCGGGCAGCGACTCCAGGGCCTCATCACTAATGTAGTCGGAGCGGAAGCCATCGAGCAGAAGCAGCAGCACCTTGCGGTGGGCACAGGCCGGCTGGGCCAGGCCCAGGGCCAGGGCCAGCAAGAGGGCCCCGAGCTTCACTGCCATGCTGCCAGGAGCCCGAGGGAGCCTGCTGCACTGCTGACACTGAGGATGGAGAGTCTGCAACTCCTCTCTTTTCCCGGGGCTGGACCTTGAGCCGCTGGCTTCCCTGAGCCAAACTCACTTGCAGGATTTAAAGGGGCAGCACCCCCTTTTCCTCACCTCTACACTTGGTTTGTGCTGGAAAGTCCAGGATTGACACCCTCACATAAGCCGGGCAACCCACAGCCAACACCAGGGGAGAGAGCGCAATCTTGTTATTTTTGGGTGAATGTTCCAGAAACACAAGCACCCACAGAGAGGTGGAACTTTAGAAGATGACAAAGTCAGCACTAATTTTCCTATTGGGCTAACCAAAGGGAGGGGCCGGGGAGAAGGACATTCTTTTTCTTTTTTCCCCCATTTAAAATTTTTTTTTAAACTTTATTCAAATTAATATGATGGGTACAATATTTAAGATACATTGTTCTCACTTCCAGGGTAAAGTCCATTTGTAGAAGAGCCCCCACCCGGGGGTGTGTTATACACCCTCACAATGTGCATATTGGGTGAGATCCCGTCTCCTGCCCTCCCTCCTTCTGCCACACGTCATCCCCCCGCCCGACTCCCACTTCCCTCTACCCCAGACTGGACTATAATAGTGTTTTATTATTCTTTTGAACATGTAATTGTTTATATATTGATTTCATATTGGTATACAGTACACTGGATATTCATCTTTCCATTCTTACGATACTTTACAAAGAAGAATGGATTTCAACTCCATCCAGGAAAATGTAAAAGATGTAAAGTCTTCATCTTTTAATGGCATACATATACCACAGTTTGTTGATCCATTCATGGGTTGATGGGCACTTAGGTTGCTTCTCTCAACTTGGCAGTTATGAATTGAGCCACAATAAATATTCTAGAGCAAGTGTCTTTGTGGTAAAATGATTTAGTTCTTCTGGGTAGATACCTGGTTAAGGGGATGACAGGGTCAAATGGAAAGTCTACATTTAGACCTTTGAAGATTCTCCATACTTCTTTCTAAAAGGGCTATGTTAGTTTGCAGTCCTACCAGCAGTGTATAAGTGTTCCCTTCTCGAGGATAGTCATTTAATTTGATGTTATCCCGTGTCACACCATTGTCTAATTTAAACCCTAACTTTTTCACTTGCCAATTCACTAACACAAACCTCTTAACTCAGTAGGCAAACAAGAGACAATTGATTTCCATGGGCCCGTCCCACAAACTTCCAGGGAGTGTCCTCATGGCCACAGCCGTGAATATCAAACAATGTGTCCACATCTCGGCTACTCTTTTCCCAGATGAGTCCATATGTAGTGTTATTATTTTATTTATTTATTTATTTTAGTAAATCATAGCTGTGTACAATGCACTCATGGGGTATTATTTTATTTCATTTTATTGTTTTAGAGACAGAATCTCACTTTGTCGCCCTCAGTAGAGTACCATGGCATCACAGCTCACAGCAACCTCCAGCTCTTGGGCTTTAGGTGATTCTCTTGCCTCAGCCTCCTGAGTAGCTGGGACTACAGGCACCTGCCACAACGCCCAGCTATTTTTTTGTTGCAGTTTGGCTGGGGCCAGGTTTGAACCCGCCACCTTCAGTATATGGGGCTGGCACCCTACTCACTGAGCACAGGTGCTGCCCTTATTTTATTTTTTAAATACACAGAAACCATTGGTTCTTGTAGGTGGAGGTGCCTCAAGGAAGAGCCCCAGATCCAGAGAGAAGTTTCCAGAGCTGGACAACAGGAGTCCCTACTGGGCAGATGGTCTGAGGCAGGAATGAAAGGAGAGGGCAGGCATGAAGTGGAGCTGGAAGACAAAAGTTGGAGGTGGGCTGGCTCAGTGGCTCACAACTAGAATCCCAGCACGCTGGGAGGCCGAGGAGCTCCTTGAGCTCAAGAGTTCAAGACCAGGCAAAGAGCGAGATCCCGTCTCTACTAAAAATAGAAAAACTAGCTGTGCCTGGTGGCAGGTACCTATAGTCTCAGCTACTTAGGAGGCTGAGGCTTGAGCCTAGGAGTTGGAGGTTGCTGTGAGCTGACACCAGGGCACTCTACCCAGGGTGACAGAGTGAAACTCTGTCTCAAAAATTAAAAACAAAAGAGAGAGAGAGTTGGAGATGGAAAAGTGAGCTAGAAATAGCCACACAGTTTCAGGACCGGCAGCACAAGGCAGAGTGAGGTCAGTGGCCGGGAGGCAGAACTAGCACTCTGCGCCCAAGTTCCGCTCCCTCAGAGTGCTTCTTTCATCTGGTATAAAATTAAATGGTACAATTTACGTAAAGGCTTATAAAGCATGTGTGGCCCATAGGTAGTGCTTAATGAACGTTAGATATTATTCGTGTTACACCGTTGCTTTGAAACTTGCAAGGCTCAGGGCAAAGGCCACAGCTTTACAGGGACTGAAGACAGACATGGCCACCGTAGGCTGATCAGCTGTGAGGTGCCTCCCCACATCTGCCCTCTGCCCCAGCCTCGTCTCTTCTCTTGTCCTATTGTGTTTAGAGTCAAGCCCTTACCTGGGACCACCACGTCACTTCCTAAATGATGCTGCAAGGAGGGAAACTCACTGGGCAAGATACCATTCCCGTCTCAGACTGGGACAAGGCTCAGGCTACATTTTTCTGATAAAAGGTGATGCTTTCCACAATTAAGTTTTTATAATTTTTCTTATAAAAAATTAAAAAGTAGGGGCGGTGCCCGTGGCTCAAGGACAAGGGCACCAGCCCCATATACCAGAGGTGGAGGGTTCAAACCCGGCCCTGGCCAAAAACTGTAAAAAAAAAAAAAAAAAATTAAAAAGTAGAGAGTGTGTGTGACGTTGAAAACAATGTTATTCTCATTTATTTGAATTGTAGAGTTTTATTGTTGCCCTAAACAGAAAGACAAAGGAAGGAAAGAAAGAAGGAAGGAAGGAAGAAGAGAGGGAGAGAGGGAGGGAGGGAGAGCTTGTGTTGACAAGCTGACAAGCCGCCTGGTTACTAGGAGAAGAACCTCTTTTTCCAAGCCATGAGGGGAGCAGGCCCAACAGATGCGCCATGTGGGGGCCTGGGAGACTTGGGGACTCCTGGGCTGTGGGCTGGAGCAGTGTGAGTGCAGGTGGTCTGCCTTCGAGTGGTTCCTGCGTTCATTTTGGGATGGGGTAAGCACTCCGAATTTTAAAGTTTAACATCAGAGGGGCGTCCACTTTTCTCTACTTCAAACTAAGCTTCCCAGCTGTTGCCGGTGGCAACTGTAACGTAAGTGTGCACAGGTTCCCAAGGCTCCAGGGACGTTGTTGAGATGCACCTGGGGTCAGGGTGCCGCCAGTGTGTGTTTTATGAGGATGATATTTATGATCATACTGCTTTATCACCATGTTTAGACAATTTCTTTAATGTTTAGGGTCAATAAATGATTGCCAATATGCATCTGTGATGTACATGCCAATGGAAAGAAACATGAGATAATTCAAAGCGAGTAAATCCCAGGGTTGCTTACAGCCTCGGTCTTGAGAAGGTTGGACATAAAAGCTAAAGACAACAGACCAGACAAGGTGGATGTGCTCACGTGGGGGTGGTTATCGACGAGGGTTTATTGCCACTTTGGTTTTCAAGTGCTGGTGATGCTGTAAGGTCATTGTCCAAAGGGGCATCACTCAGCTATTACACACATGAACATTTTCCTCCAAAAGTTGGGACAACCTTTGTCCTGAAGGCTGCTCTAGGTCTGGCTAGGGACATGCATGAGCTCTCAGGAATGTGCCACCCAGAAGGGTCAGTGCTCTGATGCGGCACCTTCACTGGGAGGAGGGTGAGATGGAAGCAAAGAGTTTCGGAGAAAGAGGAGTCAAGATTCTGGTTTTATGCGATTGTGTGATTTTGAGAAAATTGCCTTTCCTTGCTTCGTTTTTCACTTCTGAAAAGCGACAAAAGCTTTAAGATCTTTTGCAGCTGTAGAATCACTATGATTGGAAAGTAATGTCACAAATCAGCTCATGTCAGCCAGTGACAGCCCTCGTTGGTCAACGTTGGTCAACGTCTTCACTGCTCAAGCTTCCTCCACCACAGCGAGGGTGGTGCCCTCCCCATGGTCAGGATCCAGAAGTATGGCTTCATATGTTTTTAAAATTTATAAATTCTTTAAAATTCGTAACTTTTAAAGAATTAAAATAATATGCAATTTGTTTATATCCACCACAATAGTCTACGTGTAAGATGAAATATTTTCAGGTAAAGAAAAGATGAGAGAATTAGTCACCAACAGGACTGTATTATAAGGAATACTAAGAGATGCCCTTTCAGGTTGAATGGAAAGAACACAAGATGAAAATAAGATCCCACAGGAAAAAAGAAACACAAGATGAAAATAAGATCCCACAGGAAAGAAAAAAGAGGCTCATAACAGTTAATATATGAGTAAATATTGAAGACTATATGTTTCTCTTAAGGACTTTAAAAATAACTCCTTCGAGTAAAAACAATAACACATCTGTAACTTAGAAAAATTTAAAGACACCAAAACAATAGCTTACAAAGCAGGGGTAGAATGCTTAAATGAGGCTCAGCGCCTGTGGCTCAAGTGGCTAAGGCTCCAGCACTATACACCTGAGGTGGTGGGTT